AGGAAGGAGAGTATAAAAGGAAAGTGGTAGCATGTAACAGAAGGAATATTTTCTTGCCCTTATATAGCCTTAGGCCAGCTATGGCTGTGATAACGCTACCCCTTCTTCCAGCTAAGATGAATATAATGATCTGAAAGCAAAAGAGAGATTGTGTGTGTGTGTGCGTGTAAATATGCAATCTAATGAAGTGTAATATGTGATGTGTTTACAACACTGATTCAGCAACAAATTAGGGTCAGGACAAGCAGCTTTCAGTGCGTTGTGAAGTGGCACTGAAGCATGAGGTACATTGGCCTCCTGCTTATGTGGAGAGTTGTCCAGCCGCCAGAGTTGTGCAAGTGAGGCAAATTGGCATCATTCCTGTCCTGTGACATGCTCTCACTGCAAACTGTGTTGGAGCACGGACCCTGCCTAGCCCTGGGTGAGGCTAATCACTTGCGGATCAGCAGTGGCATGAGCTGAACACTGGTTACCCCCAAAGATGCACAGCACACTGCATTTACAATGCAAAGCCCGGTGTGAGCGTATTCAACCCTGAGAGCTGCTATTCATTTTTTTTTTCACTTTCCCCATAGGCTCGGTAACGTTAGCTAAACCAGAGTTTTGAGACTCAGTGTATGGGGCCTCCGTGTTGTCCTCCACTGCACCGAAGAGAGTTGCTGCTTGTTTCATCGACCCTGCAAATTCAAAGATGTGGAATGTGTGCCACCTGAGGCTGTAGAAATCTGCCTTCCTGTCCCAGTGTTAGAGTAAATCCTTTTTTTATTGGGAAGAGAAATGGCACATCTTGCTTTGCCAGTTCATGCGGCTTCCTTTGCGATTTCCACCACCTCCTCCCCAGCTGCCAAAAAAGCAGACAGACCACTTCTGTCTTTTTTCAGGTGGATTGCTGCCGATGACGTCATCATGTCACTGATGAACATCCACAGTGTAGTTTTGCAGTTCAAATTGGTTTTGTGTGGCAGCGCTCTCAGCAATGCTTTAACTCCTGTGACAGCAATGCTTGCAGACCTTGAACGGCACCAAGTTCGTATAGCGTTAGATGCTACCCAGACATGAAGAGGTGTTCTTCGTGTCCCACAGTTCTTGTCCTCTAAATGCAAACTAAAGATGAAAGGGAGCCGATGGGGAAGCTGTAGAAAGCGATCAGTGACTCTGTGTAACTTGTCACTGCTGTGGTTTTAAATCTGAAGTGAGCTCAGGGTTAATTATTATTTGAACTAGCAACTCTTCCTTGGTTTCACTTTTACTGCTTAACAGTAAGTTGAATTTTTGGTTATTTGCTCAATGTCATCTTATGGTAACCCTAGCCTTTCTGTGTGCATCTTGTTTCAGTTCAAGTCTTTTTCTATTTTTATTAGGCTTTTCTAGTGTTTGTTAGTATTGTACTGGTATTTTTCTAATCCAGAAATAACAAATGATAGAGATCCATTTGCCCTTTGTGCTTCTAACAACGAACAGGAGAGAGATATTTTTCAGGGTCTCTTAGACATACACCAGCTTTGTTTGGAGCAATGTTTATTTCTGCTACTGCTTTGACAGCTGGACATAGACTATGCCAGCTGCTGCAGATGGAGCGGCTGGCACTGAGCTCCTGGAATATGGAAGAAGATGAAATGGAACATCTTGATCCCTTTCTCTGAAAAAGGAAATAATCTTCCCCTGATATTGCTGTTCATTGTCCAGTGAAGCTACAACAGTGGCTTATTCTGCAGCCCTGTTACTATAAAAGGGATGTGCTGTGAATGGTCATTCCTTCCCAATGTGGTCAGCTATTTCATAGCTATTTCTGCTCCCCCTCCGAGAATGTGCACCTCCTGTCCCGCTGCGGGCGGTGGGGCTGCAGTCTGCTGGGCAGATCAGGGCTGGGAGTTGGCAGTGCAGGAGCCTGTTCCACGGAGGCAAGTGTTGTACAAACCACAGAGCGGAGCTGGAGCATGGGTGGGAGGATGCTCCATAAAGCACGGGCTGCGCTGGAGCCTGTAATTAAGGCACAGGAGGCATGGACTCTGCAGGGGCCTCATTAAGAGAGCGTAAATGAGCTGCAAGGCAGCCTTACTACAAATAAACAAACTCCAAATGAGTTAATCAATAGGAGGAAAAATCCGTATACACAGACTGTCAGAGCCGCTACTTTGGATGTGTTGGGCCGGCTCACTCCCCCGCCTGCCTCGGTGGGTGTGTTTCAGCTTGCTCGGAGGGCTTTTTGTTTTCATGAGGAAGGAGCTGCTGTCAGGGCGCAGCAGAAACGGGAAGCCTGGGCAGCGAGGTGCCAGGTCTGCACCTTGCCTGCTTCCAGCAGAGCTGAGCTCGTGCTCCAGCGGCGCTTGTCCACCTCAGCTTGGGGGGCTTCACGGATTTGAAACAAAAAGGCTGTGCTCACGCTTGTCATGGCGTGGTTGCAAGCCGAGGCAGACCCTGCCAGGTCTCAACCTTGGGCAGGCAAGAAGTGGAGGGAGAAGGAAACAACGGTAGGGTTAACTTCTCATCTCATGCAGCCGTCAGGAGGGCTGTGTCAGTGGCCTGGCTGGCAGGCGGTAATTCTGTGTCCGCATGGGATCAAATGGGATGCTTAGCTGAAGTGCAGGGAAGTTTCCCCGACTTCAAATCCCTGAAGCCATAACACTTGAATGTTTTCCCCCCTCTGCGAGGGAGTTTGCAGCTCAGTCCCTATCTATCAGATGCCATGCAAGGCTGACCTGGTA